TGTGTGGGTGTCAGTCATCCCGGTCATCGCGGTCAGTCGACCCGTGGCAACTGCTCACGCTGGTACGTGGTGGTGGTGGTGGCGGGTACACGGAGGAAGCGCGTGTGTGTGTGTGTGTGGGGTGTGCGTGCGTGTGTGTGTGTGCGTGTGTGTGTGTGTGCGTGCGAGTGTGGGTGTGTGTGTGTGTGTGCGTGCGTGTGTGTGTGTGCGTGTGTGTGTGGGTGTGTGTGCGTGCGTGTGTGTGTGGGTGTCAGTCATCTCAGTCAGTCGACCCGTGGCAACTGCTCACGCTGGTACGAGGCGGGTGGTGGTGGTGGCTGGGTACACGGGGGAAGCGCGTGTGTGTGTGTGTGTGTGTTTTCTGTGTGTATGTCTGTGTAGTAATAATAGGTTTTTACCCTTTAAACTGGTACAAAAACGGACACCTTTATACAAGGCATCATGTTTGCAATAACCACAACACAAGCAGTCATAATGCAAACAAAAAACACACAACTCTGATAATGTATGCGCTGTCCTTGAAGTTGATTGGTCCACACCCGAGACAGCTTTTCTTAGAGCCAAGTCTCACATGGTGTTGGACCAGATGACGCCAAAAGGCGCACTGTCTGTGTGTGTGTCAGTCATCTCGGTCATCTCGGTCAGTCGACCCGTGGCACCTGCTGGGTCTGCCCCGTGACCTCCTGCCAGTGGGTGTTCGACACTTCACGTGGCCTCAAGGTGCACTTGGCCTGGCACAAGCGTCGTGGTGACGTCACCGCCACTTAGTGGCGAATGGCGGTTGTTGTTGTTGTCGGTCATCTCGACGCCCGGGTGCGATCAAGGGATGGCTCCCTATTGGTCAACCACGTTATGTATGCCGATGATTTGGTAATAGCTGCTCATTCAGAAGAGGAGTTGGAGACGCTGCTGCTGAGACTGGAGCGTGCCACTAAGAGGTGGGGCCTTACCATCAGCCCCACCAAAACTAAGCACCTGGCCTGGGTATTTTGTACCATCGGGCACTCCACCCCCACAACTCCCAATTGGTGATGGGGCAGTAGTGGAGAGATTGGAGAGTTTTCCACACCTGGGCAGTGTGCTTATGACCGGATCCAGTTTAACAGCAGAGGTCTAACTCCGAATCAGTCGAGCGGCAATATCTTTTCATCGGTTGCGTAACGCTGTGTGGAAGCTACCTGGTCTGTCGCTCCGCACGAAGCTTCAGGTCTTCTCGGCCACAGTCATTCCCTCCCTTCTCTACGCTTGTGAAACGTGGACCCCCCCAAATGGAACATCTTCGCATGTTAGAAACATTTAGGCTGGCCTGCCTACGATCCATCCTGGGTTTAACCAGGCTGGATTGTTTGAGGAGCTCACAAATCTTTGAAAGATCTGGTCAAAGTCCCATCGGTGAGCTCCTCCGGCAGGCAAGGCTGCGTTGGCTGGGTCATGTAGCCCGCATGCCCAGCCACCGCATGCCTAAACAGCTTTTGTTCGGCCGGATTGACGGAGCTAAATGGGCGCGGCACGGGCTGGAGAAGAGATGGAGTGACGTGGAACAGGAGGACGTGGAGCTGAGTGGACTTGCCGATGACTGGTACCAGCGGTGTCAAGATCGGCCTCTGTGGAGGAGGCTCGTGAAGGACGCTACTGGGCAGTTGGAGACAGTCGCCCTCCAACAACAACGGAGGGCGGAGGAGCGACGCTCACAACAACACACACACACACCCACACACTCACACACACACCTACACACACATCCACACACACACACCCCCACACACTGACACACACCCACCCCACCCACCCCCCCACCCACCCCCCACCCCCCCCACCCCCCCCCCCCACCCACCCACCCCCCACCCCCCCCCCACCCACCCCCGCTCTCCTCCGCCCACAGAAGCACATGCTGCAGGAGGGCAAGGGCCGCATGCTGCAGGCCATCAGCCCCGGCAGCAGCCCGGCGCGCGAGCGCTCCCCGTCGCCCCCGGCAACGCCCTCGTCACCTGGCAACACCGCTCTCTCCCTCCTCCACCTCCTCCACCTCCACCTCCTCCCCCTTCCTCATCGGCGGCAGCAGCGGCGGCGTCGGCGGGGACCCGGGGTTCCGATGGCCGTTCTCGCGGCCACCCGGCGGTGACGTCGCCGGCGTTGTCCGTGGGGCGTCTCACCAGCCCCGGCAAGCCCCGGGCGCCGTCGCCGCAGGGCCGGGCGGCGCGCGCCGCCGCCGCCGGGGAGCGGAGGGACGGGCGGAGAGCGCAGAGGGAGAGGGAGGGCGGCAGAGCGGGGGGGTAGCAGCGGGGGGGAGGGCAGCAGCAGCTGGGAGGGCAGCAGCGGGAGATGCGGGAGCAGGAGGAGGAGGAGGATTGAGGGGGGGGGCAGAATCACACGCTGGGACATGATGGGACACACACACACTGACACACACACACTGAGACACACACACTGGGACACGCTGAACACTCATACTAACACACTGACACACTGGGACACGCTGGGACACACACACACGACACACACCACACTGACACACACACACACTGAACACACACACTCACTGACAACACACACACTGACACACACACACTGACACACACACACTGACACACAAAAACACTGACACACACACTGACACACACACACTGCCACACACACACACTGAGGACACAACACACAGACACAAACACTGACTCACACACTCGCACCGTACGGACTGCTTGATGAGTGTTTGCTTTAAACCGGCTGTCCGTCATCCTCCACCCCAGAGCCACCACCACCACCACCGCACCTCCGGTGGCCCACATAGGAAACACGCGAACATGGCAGTCTGACATGCGTCCGACATGCGTCCGACATGCATCCCATGCATCCCACATGCGTCTGACATGCGTCCGACATGCGTCCCACATGCGTCCCACATGCGTCCGACATGCGTCCGACATGCATCCCACATGCATCCCACATGCGTCTGACATGCGTCCGACATGCGTCCCACATGCGTCCCACATGCGTCCGACATGCGTCCGACATGCATCCCACATGCATCCCACATGCGTCCGACATGCGTCCGACATGCATCCGACACGCGTCCGACATGCGTCCCACATGCGTCTGACATGCGTCTGACATGCATCCCACATGCGTCCCACATGCGTCCGACACGCGTCCGACACGCGTCCCACACGCATCCCACACGCGTCCGACATGCGTCCGACACGCGACCGACATGCATCCGACATGCGTCCGACACGCGTCCGACATGCGTCCGACATGCATCCGACACGCGTCCGACATGCGTCCGACATGCGTCTGACATGCGTCCCACATGCTTCCGACATGCGTCCGACATGCGTCCGACATGCGTCCTGTAAATTATTGTACGGAGAATGATCGGTGTGGGTGTAATGGTGACGGCGGTGGTGGTGGTGATGATCATCTTGATGTGAAGATTTCGCTGCCGCAGAGATCCACCGCTATTTTTTGTTTGTTTCAGGCAAAGCCACTTGAGGCAGACACAATATGCTTAGGTTTTTTCGGTGAAGTCACGTAGGTAAAAAAAATAAAAATTAATGAAAGTAAAATTTATTTTATTTTTATTTCAAAAATAAAAATTCGTGAAAGTTAAATTTATTTTATTTTTATTTCGCTTTTATTCATTTAAGGAATCTAACCCGCACGACCCTGGGCAGGGAGCTTGGGTGGGTGGTGATGGTGGTGGTGATGGTGATGATGGTGATGGTGGTGGTGATGGTGGTGGTGGTGTGATGGTGATGATGGTGATGATGGTGATGGTGGTGATGGTGGTGGTGATGGTGGTGGTGGTGGTGATGGTGGTGGTGAGTGGTGGTGATGGTGGTGATGATGGTGATGATGATGGTGGTGATGATGATGGTGGTGATGATGATGGTGGTGGTGATGGTGGTGATGGTGGTGGTGATGGTGGTGATGGTGATGATGATGGTGATGGTGGTGATGGTGGTGATGGTGGTGATGATGATGCTGGTGGTGGTGGTGACGGTGGTGATGGTGGTGATTGATGGTGATGGTGGTGATGGTGATGGTGGTGATGGTGGTGGTGGTGGTGATGGTGGTGATGGTGGTGATGGTGGTGGTGGTGATGGTGGTGATGGTGGTGATGATGATGGTGATGATGTGATGGTGGTGATGATGGTGATGGTGTGTATGGTGGTGATGATGGTGTGATGGTGGTGATGATGATGGTGGTGATGGTGGTGGTGATGTGGTGGTGATGATGGTGATGGTGGTGATGATGGTGGTGATGATGTGTGATGTTGATGTTGTGGATGATGGTGATGCTGATGGTGGTGATGATGGTGATGGTGGTGATGATGATGGTGGTGATGGTGGTGGTGATGGTGGTGGTGATGATGGTGATGGTGGTGATGATGGTGGTGATGATGGTGATGGGGCATTGGTTGATTAAAGGAGCTCAAATTGTGGCTGCGTTTCTCCGACTCCCCGCGTCTCTGTGGATTGCAACTTTCAGCGGCCGTCGCCAGCGTCAAGAAGAGCTTTGGGACCGTCCATAAATGACGTCACGCACCTAGGGGGGGTGGGGGGGGCAGACATTTGTGACGATGTGTGACGAGGGGGGGGGGGGGGTTGAGAAATGTGACGTCACATCAAAATCGCAACTTTATAAATAAATATAGACAACACGTTCTACTTATATTCTTGGTTCTTTCGGTAAAGTCACGTAGAAGGGAAATATAAAATAAGAGAAAGAAACAAAATATATAAAAAAAATTATCACAATTTGTGAAATAAAAAAATAATAAAACAATAAAAATTATCACAATTTGTGAAATAAAAAAATATATAAAACAATAAAAATTCTCACAAATTGTGAGAATTTTTATTGTTTTATGATATTTTTTATTGTTAATATTTTTATTTCACAATTTGTGTTGTGGCCGAAACGTCGTGAGAATTATTTTATTATGTTTTATTTTTATTATTTATTCTTCTCTTGGTTCTTTCGGTAAAGTTACTTATAA